CAGTGTACTTTGTTGATCTGCCTGTTCTGCTCCCCACTCTGTCTCTGGTGAAGCCTCTCACAGCCCCTGCACCCCTGGCCTGTACCCGATGTTTAAGATATATAGCTTTTATATCAATAAGGAACTGTGTTTGGTTATATACTAGAAACCTAGACAACAGTGGCTCAAATAACTGGAAGGTTATTTCTATTTCCTATAGAAAAAGGCTAAACTTGTGTCTAAGATTTTCATCTCACGTAGATGTGGGCTGTCCCTAGCTGGAATCCAGACTTCGTCACTCTATCTTCCCATGGTCATCAGCAGACCCTTGCCTCTTCCTCTCAGCATGGCTGTGAGAGAGCTAGCCACCACGTGTGTGCTTCAGGAACCGAGAGGGATACAGGCCAAGGGGTGTAGGCAAGGAGGAGCTCCTGCCTGAGCTTTCCCAGAGGACCTACCCAGAGACTGCTCCTGACCGCTCTTTGGTCAGGGAGAGCCACATGACCACCCCTAGCTGCACGGGGAAGGTTGCCTTTCTTACCCCCTCCCTATTCTGGACACACTGCTGCCTCAAATGATGGTTTTATTAGTTAGGAAAGTGGATACTTATCTGACACAAATAGTAGTCTCTCCACTTCTCAGGAATAAAATTCTATAGAAATCTTAATCAATACAAAGACATTGGGGAAAAAAACGATGATAGAAAACATGAAACATGACAATAAGACATTCGAAATTGGACAAATATGAATTTTCAGTATTTTTTTGTTAAAAATAAGACTCTTATTGGATCAAAATAGACACACCTGTATTTTTGTTAATAAAATAAGATGAGAAGTTAAAAATTAAGTAGTGGATAAAATATAGCAGGGGAGAGATTCCCACTTCCAGTGTGCTAAGTAATTAGGATTCATCCTTCTGCTGAGACTGACTGGAAAAACTGATCAAATTATTCTAGAATTTATGCTTGAAGGAATTGAAAAGTAACAACATTGTAAAAAAAATTCTGGCCCATGATCTGAATGAATTAAGAAAGAAATTTAGAAATGCAAGACTGCATTGGTCATTGTCCATAACCCTTATCTTCAAAGACTTCATCTTGTACCTCTCCTGTCCCATTCGTCACACCTGCTGCTTTCTCCATCCTGTTTATTTCACTCCACTCACACCAACAACCCAGGCTTTATACAGCTTCCTTTCTTCTCTCTATTCTCCCCACAGCCACACACTGGTATCCCCCATACTCACCCTCCACTTTCCAAATATGTTCCTCAGAGACGTGCTATTTACACTAATAAGTTCCACCAAAACTTCAAAGGTGAACTAATACCTAGTCTCAAAATCACCCCCCAAAAATTGAAGAAGAAATGTTTCCAAATCCAGTTTATGAGGCCAACATTACCCTGATAACAAAAACAGACAAGCATAGCACAAGCAAAGGGACCTGAAAAATCTTAGCAAACTGAGTTCAGCAATATTTTTAAAGGATCATACACTGTGACCAGCTCTTCTCGGAGCGCTGAGAACTTGCTGTGATGTACTGCAGGATCTGGGGTGGTGGGTAAGGGAATAGTTCAGGGATGAAGAACAGCTGGGTAGAATCCCAAATTCACTACATCAGTAGTTATTGAAATAACAACAAATTCAGAACATCAGGAATAAAAAAAAGATCTGAGTGTCTTCCAGAGAGGGAAATTACAGTCTATAGCTCATGGTCAAACGGATAAGAATAGAATTAGGTTTCTAGGAGGAAGTGGGAAAAAATCCTCAATACTTAGAGGGAAAAATTATTTTCAATTTAGAATTTTACATTAAGCAAAAACAATCAAAAGATTTTAATGCAGAATAAAGCCATTTTTCAGATACAAGTCTACAAATTTATATCCAGGCACCTGTTCCTGGATGAGTTCTACCAAAACGCAGACTAAACCTGAGTCTAAACCTGAGAGAGTCATGGCGAGCAGATCTTGTTCCTGTCATTTGGCGAAGCCCTCAGTGCACACGTGTGACCCTGAGTTTTTCTACTAAACAATTTAAAACACAATTATAAAGGGGGGAATAAAAATAAACACAATAAAAAACACAATGATAATGGGGGGGGAATGTGGAAAGATTTATGCAATGAAATAGCTAATTGAGACATGACAGTCTGGAAAATTCTTGTACCATTTCTATCTGGCAAGGAGTTGTCCAGGGAAGACATACAAGAGAACGATGAGAATCTACTAGAAAAATAGGCCAAGCACATGGGTGAATTGGTGGTGGGAAGTCCACGGGGATTACAACAGAGATGAAAGAATGTACAAAGGGTAGGATGATTAAAATATATATGTATATATAAAAAAGAAAAATAGGCCAAGGACAGGACCAGACAATGACACAGTGATGTATGTGAAAGGGCCAAGACTCAAACACAATAGGAGCTGAGGGACACTAATCAATGTTAGGACAAGGTGCTTTCCAAGGACAGGACCTATATGAAGTCCATAGTGACTCAAGAACAACATCACTCCCTAAAATTTCACCAGAGGAAACAGACACAGAGTTCACACAGCCAGGTATCTCTCTATCAAGACTGAAGCCCAGCAACTTATTCCTACGAGTCATATTCACATCCCTACTTGAAATATGAATGAAAACAAGGCAGCATCTTGACGTATTTACAGTAAAAATTGGAAAGTGATTGACAGAGGTCAGGAGCTGCCACTGTGGAGAGCAATCTGTTGGCATTTAGTGGGATGGAGGAGCCCCGTCCTATGACTCAACAAGCCCCCTACTTCACCCCCACTCATATCCCCTGGAGGATGCCACGGTGCTGCCCGGAAACACATGCGAAGATGTCCTTGACAGCGTCATCTGCTGTGGAGACTCGTTCGTTGGAGGGGACCTGGAGATGAATTCATCAGTGGAGAAGAGAGGAGACATGCAGGTCACACTGCATCAGGAGGACAGGTGGAGGCCATTGTCCGCTGTATCTTGCACATCTTCAGACAGTTCACAATAAACAGTCTGGGGAGGCTGTGCAGGAAGAGAAAGGGAAGGGGAGCACTTGGCTGTGAGCAGCACCTGCTGGTGGGGTCACGTGCTTCATCGGCAAGGTGAGGGGAGAAAAAGCGGGGTGGTTTGGGTGAGGAAGAAAATGCAACCCTCATCTCCCATGGTGGATCTTGATCGATAATGCCTTGAAATGAAGAGGCCACGGCACTGAGTTGCCAAGATCAGGAGGAATTGCTCCCCAGAAAGAGAAGCAGACGTGGCTGGGGCAGCCAGAGGATGGCTGGTTCGGGAAGCCAGCCTGAATAACGGGTGGCCTCTCTGAAGTGACCACCGCCACCGCCAGGGAGATCTGAACTGCAGCGCAGAGGGGAAGCCATCTCCTGGGTAGTGACCCATGCCTGCGAACTCCACCAGCCCACTGGATTTCAGACCCAGGAAGGAAGGGCCTGTTTCCTGGGAAGGATCAGCAGCCTCAGGACGGCTCAGTGCCAAACAGCAGCAGATGGGCGGGGGGTTCTCGCAGCCAAACGGAGGGAGCAGAAATAGCCTGAGGTAGCACCAGCCAGACACTTCTGCTGCCCCCCCCCCCACACACAGTGCCCCCTCTGAAAGAAGGACGTCCTCTCACTGAGGAAGGACACCAGGGAAGGACAAGCAGGAGGCCCGGGAGAGCCCAGCACCTCCCTCTACACGTGGCTTGCTCTCCTCCGTGGCAGTGAGAGGGTGGTCCGTGCGCGTCAGCGTGGAGGTCTCTCTTGGGGTGAGACAGACTCGCAGAAGCTGTGTTCCACAGAGATGTGGGGCCATCCTCACAGAAGGGGAAGGGTAGGTTTTCCTCCTCCATCCAGCAACCGTGAGTCTGGAGTGGGCCGCCTGGTCCCTGGGTCACAGCTGCCCTTGTGACATCATGCCCAGCTCCTCTTCCCCGCCCTCACGCGCCTGCCAGGGCCAGTGGAGCAGCAGCCAGAGCAGAGTGAACATCTGAACCACTGCCCCCAGAACATGGGCACTCTACCCAGTGTGAGACGCGGGCCAGCGCGCCTTGGGGTGGGGAGTTGCCCGGGACAAAAGGAAGCCCAGAGGACTCCAAGGGCTGCCAGGGAAGAACGGGGAGCTGGGGCTGCGAGCACTATGGCCAGGGACTGGCCCTTCCACAAGCTTTCTCCTTACGTTCTGGTTGCAGAAGTCTCAACCACCTAGAGAGGATCCAGAGAAAACAGCAGCAGAGGAAGAAAAGCAGAAGGTAGGTGGGGCCCAGGAGCAGGAGAGAAGCCACAGATCATTACCTCTTTAACCCCAAAGTTCCCTGAAAGCGGACCATCCAGGTCTAGTCCCACAGGAATCACTCAGTGTTGCTCCCCAGCCCCTATCAAGCTCCCCCACCCGGCCCCACCCCTGTTCTGCACAAGCTGTATTAAACATGGAGAAAGAGAGTAGGGTGAGAATCCAGGGTGCGGATAGCCTCATGGAAGGTCGGATGCAACACAGTGGAGACTAGACATTGGAGAAGGGTCAGATGAGTCTAGAAGGATATGGGGGTGACCAAGAGGTAGTACTGTATTGGGAGTCCAAAGAAGTGAGACAAGGGCAATGGCATCAGAGAACAGCATCGCAGGCTGGAGTCTGAGTTGAGACGCAGGCCATGAATGCAGAGGCCATTTTCATGCAGACTCTGGTTCCTCTCACCTACTTGGGCGTTCTGGATCAGAAAGTGTTTCTACCAATTCCACAAACCTGTGAAGACCACAGGGCAAGCACATTCCCATTTCCCTGATGAGAATACTGTGCCGAAGTGGGCAAGCAGCTATGTCCATGAATAGTTGTGTCCATGGCCACAGATAAGAAGGAAGTAGAGGTAAAACCCTACCCAGGTGCTTTGGGGCCTCGGAACCCCCAGGGGAAAGAAAGCTGATTATGGAAGGGGTCGTGGCAGATGCCAGAGCTATGGTTGAGAGTGACAAATTCATTGGGAGCCCTCTGCTTTGCTTGGCTAGTTGCTTCGTGCAAAACAACTAAAACAACTAATGGCAAGAGTCAAGGCGGCCAAGAAGATCCAGGCCTGGTGGCGTGGCACGCTGGTGCGGCGGGCCCTGCTGGCGGCCGCCCTCAGGGCCTGGATGATTCAGCAGTGGTGGAGGACAGTTGTGAGGAGGCGGAGACTCAAGCTGAGGCAGCGCCTGTTGCAAACCTATGTGATCCAGGAGCAGGCAGTGGTCAAGCTCCAGTCCTTGGTCCGCATGTGGGAGTGCCACCATCGTTACGGCCAGATGTGCAAAGCTGTCTGTGTGCCCCAGGCCTCAAACACCTACCTGGCCTTCCCGCCTGAAGAGGTTTTGCAGGCACAGTTCAAAAACACTTCCAACCAGCTGGAGTTCCATGTTGAAATCCTTTCTATCTAAAAGTGTGCAGGGTGGGACTACCGCATCACCCTAATAAATATATGACCAGGTTCTGTGTGTCTCAGTGAGTCCCACATCATGGGGATCCCCATGATGTAGGCCCTGCACCTCCTTTTCTATCTGGGGAAAGACTTCAATACAAGTACTTCTCACCACCACACACATACACAGACACACACACACACCCTGTTCTTTTGACAGGGGTCACTTGCCATTGATTCTTTTTTTTTTTTTAAGATTTATTCATTTGTGCATACAGAACTGGGGTACAGGCCAGAGGCTTAGGGTGACAAGAGGCTTCACCAGAGACAGAGTGGGGAGCAGAACAGGCAGAGTGATGAAGTACACTGCTGAGGGGAGCAGCGGGCGGGTCAGGAGAGGTCTGCCACGCCATGTGGTCACCTCCGGGGCAGGCGGGAATCGAACTCATGCGGAAGTGGCTTTAGCTTCTTAGTGCTGTGCTTTAACCTGCTGCGCCACCAGGGAGGGCCTGATTCTACCCAGATCAGAAACTGCTGCCCAAGGCTGTCCTCACACACTGAGGCCAGGTGCACCACCCACAGTCCCAGCACTGTTCCTGTCCCTGAACCTGCAGTTGGGAGGGGTAGGGCTTTATATACTGAAGACTCTGGGTACCTCCTCTTGTGACAGTTGCCCCTGAAACCAGGCCCTGTCAGCCTGCAAAGGGTGCCAGCTGTGGCTTGCCCACATTTCACCTTCAGACCAAAATCAGGCACTTATTGGCTCTCTAGAGGGCAACACAGGCCAGAGAAAGCACAAGAGTGTGCACTGGGATTCCAGGCACCTGACTTTGCGAGCCTCCGGCCAGGTTGAACGCTGACATGATCTTAAGAAAGTCAGGTTAGACACTGTCCTCCCTCCTCAAGACCGTGTCCCCAGGTTGCTGAAACAGCCCACTGATGCCAGCCCCACCTCGTGTATGACACCATTCCTGGTGACTTCAGCACCCACTGTCAGGTGACGCCCCGGGTCCTGGCCTCACACCTCCAGTAAATCTGGTTTCAGCCCTTGCTCACCCACTCGTGCGATTACTGTAGACCGCTGTCTCTCAATCTATCTCTGGGGAAGTTTTCAAATGTCCAGTCCATCACAGACTGGCTCTTTGGTAAAATAATAAAAGTGAATTATGAGAAAAATAAATGGAAAAGGCAGACAGATGTACATGCTTTTAACTTTTAGCTAGGACCTGTCTGAAAGTACAATTTTAATGTGCTCTAACAGTTTCTAAATGTTCACTTTCAACCTCCATACTTACCTCCTTGGTAACAAATTCCCACCATGCTCTGGGCAGCATTGCCCTGGCCTCTGTCACCGCCCCTAGCCACCCATCAACAGCACTGGCACCCAGCTCTCTCGGCTCCCTTAAGACAGAGGTCAGAAAGCCACGGCCATAGTTGAGCAGAAAGGACAGAAACTGCCGGACAGTAAGCCTACCCTTCCTGGTTTTAAAATATTGGTCTTGTCCAAGTGGTGCCCTATGCATTTCAGGATGTAGTCTCCTCTGGCCACCCAAACTAGGCCACTCAAGTTGTTTTCCCTGCCTGAGTTGTTCCAGCCTGCCTAATCTGTTAGGACAACACAATGTGTATTATCATTGGCCTGGCTCAGCTACCGCACAATAGTTTGACTTTGTCAAGGTGGGTAACTATAGTGCACTGAGTAGGCGGTGCTGTGGGCTCACCCCCCCCAATACTGCACAGCCACTGCTCGTGTGGGTAATCCTGACTGCTGTCCCAGTGCACAAAGGCATGGTGACTTAAGGCCCAGAGTGGAACAGCTGGTGGCTCGGGGCAGAGCTGTCAGCCGGGGTCAGGGTACCGAGCCGGGCTACATACACTGCTGCGTCCAGGGGAGAATGGAGCGCTCAGGGGGACTCACACAGGTTCTAGCAGGCAGTACAGAAAGTTTGTAGCAGAATAATAGCCAACAAAGCAGAAACAGCCTAAATGGGTGTGTAATTATACAAATTATGTCACATTCATACAATCATTACTATTTAGCAATGAAAAAAGAATGAACTACTGATACATACAGTAATTTGTATGTATCTGAAGGAGTTTACCCCCAGGACAAGGGGGCTATCTGGATCCCAACTACGGGAGTTATAAGGCATTGTAGACCTCAGGAGATTCGAGTCCTCTATTTCCAAGGCCAGGGCATTCGAAGCTGTGTAAGAGAGGCAATCCGCACCAAGTTGCAGACAAGGGAAGGTGGATGTCCAGCTAACTCAAGATACAAGGACTATATTTACAGTCTCTAGGAAGTTGAGAATGGAATGGACTTGGCCAGGGTTCTACAGGAAATAACCTTACCAACCTCCGCCCCTCTAAACGCTGCTTATAGAACTCCACCCAATTACGAGTCACCATAGAGGAAACTGATGAAACCGAAGTAAAGGAAAATTCTCTACACTCGTCCCCTTCCACGAAGGTAAGTCAATGGAGGCCCTCAAAGGGGAGGGTGAGTCTGACCTGCCACTTCTCCGACTCAGGTCACCCAGGGGTCATGGGTCTTTACTGTGGCAATACATGGAATTTATCATCCAGGAGAGAGCTGAGAGTGAAAGACGGTGCTCCTGAGACTGGAAAACAGCCACCCTGAGCAGAGGCTGTCTGAGAATGGCCGCCCACAAGCTTGAACGGTTGCCTCGTCCAGAGCCAGAAGGAACAGCGACTGGCCCTTCCTTGCTATCCTCTCCTCCTAGCTCCTTCCAGGTCTGGGTAAGATGGATGACAGAGAAATAAAGACTTGTCTCTGTGGTTGTAGCTGGGAGAAACCCTGACAAGTGGGAACATCCCTTGCAAATTTAGGGAATGGGATGGTGAGGGCGGTGTATTGGGGAACACATTGCCAAGTAAGGGAAACCCAAGTACAGACTGGGAATGTGTGTGTGTATTTGCATACATCTGTGTGTATTAACTGAAGTTTAAGTTATGAAAAATAAGCGATAATGAGAATTAAATGAACAGACTCGCAAACTGTGTAGAGTGAGAAAATTTTATAACTATGATTTGGCAGAGCAGGTTGTAAGTAGGAGCTAGAGTCAGGCATGACAGCCGGCAAAGGATGTGACTTCTCCAGCCGTGGGAGGTTCTGACGGGAAGGAATATGGATCCCACGTGGGTGATCATTCCGGGGGGACATGCTAAACTTTTAGCCCAAAGATCATATAATGTTCTTGTCTGGGCGGATGAATCAAGCTCAGGTAACCAGATGCCAGCTAGGGCAGGTGTGCCCCATTTCACGGACGAGGAGCTGAGACTCAGAGTTCACAAGATTGATCTGTCCATTAAGCAGAGGGGAGTGGACATGGGACGCCCACCTGGTCTCTGGCTCCCGCCGGTGTCCTGTGGGGTGCTCCTCAACCTCTGCGGAGAGGTCTCTGTTGGCCAAGGACTCTGTTATGCCCAGATTTCAAGTTTCCCAGAGACCACCAATGAGCCGATTTCAATGCAAAGCGCACGAGGGTCTTTATTGCACACTCGAGCCTGGGCTCCCAACATTCACTGACACAGCAGCCAAAGTTGAGAGCCCTGAACTTAAGGAAGGCGGGTTTTTATTACAGAAGAGGGGAGTTTCAACTCAGCAGAGGGGAGTTTTAGCTCAGCAGTACATTGGTTGACATTGAGCAAAGTTATCTTGTCTTAACCTGGTTGGTCTATGCATGTAAGATGCGACCTTCACTACTCGGCCGCATACCTTAGGACATCTGGCGTTTTCCTGATATGTACTGGTTACTTGCCCTCTTGCTAATTCGCTGTTGCTATGGGATGAGCAAGATTAGGACATTTACAGTTAAACTTGGCCTTGGTGCCTTGGCCGAGGTGATAACCAAAACTTAGGCCTGGCTTGTTCTGAAGCATTCTGAAGCCTGTCATGGCATCAGTTTGGTCTCTCAACCCCTTCCTTGCCCACCCTCAGGCTGAGGTGGGTGGGGAAAAGTTTCCCGAGTGTCTATTTTTTCTTATAATAACTCCCTCGGAAGAAACAGCAGCCTACTTCTCAAGGGCCAACAGCCAGAGCCACAGAGATCCAGGCCTGGTGGCGGGCACCCTGGTGTGCTGGGCACTGCACATGGCCCTGAGGGCCGGGGTCATCCAGTCCTGGAGGAGGGTGGGGCTCGAAGCTGCTGCAGCCAAGGTGGCGGGTGGTGCTGGAATACCACGTGTGGCCAGTACGGGCAGTGGGCCGAGTGCGGGCCTTCCGCGGGTGGCGGGTACGGGCAGTGGGCAGAGTGCGGGCCTTCCGTGGGTGGCACACCTGCCAGCGCCACTGCCGATGGCTCGAGGCTGCCCGATCATCCAGGCCTCCTGGCGCTGGGGGAACTGCCGTAGCCGGGGCTTGCTCCGTGGGAACCGCGAAATCACATCAAGCCAGCTGGGCCCTGAGCTTGAACTCTTTCTGGGCTCACCATCTGTGGGGTTACAGACTTCCTCCATAAAGAACTGATGGGGTCTGCTGCAACGCTGTGTCACCAGATCACTGTCACACAAGCTCTATACATCCTTGCCTGAGGGGAGGGTCAAGTCAGATCTGTCACAGGTAGGTTCTGAGAAGGACTAGGACTTCCTGGGATCCTGCAAGGAGAATTCCAGGGCCCTGTGCTAGCAGAGGGATTGTGTTTGGTTATATGTCTGCATGAGTCCAGTGTTGGGGTTATAGCACCCACCAAGTCCAAGGGGTGGGGGACAGTAGAAGGCTTGTATGAAACCCCCCACTGCTTGTGCTTCAAAGTGGCCTGTGATTTCTGAGTTCTTAATCCTCCAGTGTCCTCCCGGTAAATTTAGAACAATTCCTACAGCCCTTGCTGAGGTCTACAAAGCCCGCAGGTGTGGCCCTGGCCAGTGCCCTGCTTCATGTCCTCCTTGGCACCTCTACAGCCTGTATCTCCCGCATGCCCGCACTCAGCGTTTGCACTCGCCGCCCTCTCCCTGGACACCTGCCGGCGAAGCTCTGCTCCTTGGGGTGGTGCACGCCTC